CAGTTTTAAAGTGCAAACTGCTCTCTCTTTTTAATTGTTTAGAATGAGTACGAAAAAATTTGAAATAATTTTACCGTCAAATTGTGAAGAATTTCACGCTTTACAAAAGCGTTTACTTGAAGTGAATTCATTTCAATTGCTAGTGACTTCAATACATAAACTTCCAAGTTAACTGAAGTTTCCAGCACTAAAAAAACGTTTTGACTATTTCAGCATAAAACCCAGAGTTCAAATCATTAGTTTACAGATCAAAAAATGAAGAATTTCGCATTCTATTAGACTGTAACTTACAAATAAACCTGCTACTATTTTTTACCTAAAAAACTAGGAAATACTGAATATCGTCGCTACTGGATATTACTAAAAAATAGGAGAAAATAACCTTTTCAAAAACTCTTTTTCGATCTGATTTCATCTAAAAAATCATTATTTCTCATTAAAAAGCCCATTATATTGTAGAAAATTTCTTGCTGAATTTTTCGGTATACTTTGTTTTGTTGAATACGTGACTTTTAGCGAGGTTTTGCGCAAAAAAGTCGATTTTTTGAAGGTGCAGTTAAAAAATTTTGAGCTTTTCTAGTTAAAGTTACTGTGCCAAACATCAAAGATGGAATCTTAAAATTAAATATACAATCGTGTAGAGAATCGTTTAATGTATAAAGGAACTCTTTCTATGGAAAAATGAGAGAAAAATACACGAAGATTTAATGCAATTTATTCTGAGACATTCGTTAAAACAGAATTTGAAATAAAAGAAATAGAATACAGTATTTTGACTCTTTCAAAAACATAAATCAGAATGCTTATTTTAAATTGTATTCAAATATTTCTACACATGCTCTTTTTAGCGGTTTTTAGGGCTTTTATGAAAGATGCTAGGAGTATTATCTTATGAAAGAAGTATTATCCCATCAAAAGATTTTGGGAATCTCTGTAGATATGTTGGTTCTACCTACAGCAATTAGGTGATCATCGAAAAAGAGCGCATTATTGTGTTTCTGGTTACCGTTTTATTGTCACTTATGTAGAAACTACTATCCATTTCAATGAACAATGGAGTTGGTTGTAAGTTGAATAACTCCGGATAGGAAGCAGCTAGAGACCTGCGGTTTTCAACATTCGAAAGAGAATAATATTCTTTATTAAGAAATATGTAAAAAGGTGGTTGGTCAACGATTGACCAATCAGGTGAGTTTTCGCTTGACATATTGGGCAC